TTTTTGTACCATCCTACTTTTCCTCTCTCAATGACATAATGTGACGTAACCATTATTTTGTGCATTCACTTTCTTGTTCTGCACTTTCGTCAGTGCTTCATTTTTTATTAGACTGAGTATTGTTTTCTAGAATGTTATGGTGGCCTTGAGTTTACTGAAGAAATTACAGAGGGAATCCTGTAGATTACAACTGCGTGTGCCCATGAGTTTACTAGGGTGCACTGGGACCCTGGCGTTTACTAGAGAAATTACTGAGGGAGTTTACTAGAGAAAGTACTGAGGGAGTTATAGCTATACTAGAGTGGCCTATATATTAGATTACTGAGGGGTATCCTGGAGATGGCCCTACTAGCTGATTGAATGGGGTTATCGCGAATTGTATCCAGCCAGCCAGCAGCTTGTGAAGGTTCAGAGAAAATGTATGGAGGACTGACATAATTTCACATGTGAAGGAAAGTTGTAGTTTCATTGTGATACATTGTGAATACATACAAACATAGCTGACACAATGAGTGAGCACCCTGCATTGGATGAGAGAAGGAGAGAAAGAAGAGAGGAGAGGTGAAACAAAATCAAGAGAATGGGAACAGTATACAGTCCTTGTGGACAGAGGAAGAGGCGGAGTATAAACAAAGACGTAAACAGGATGTTGACGGCAGCTAATTGCATGATGAAAGGACCACAGCTGTCAATGGAGGAGGCATACATCCAAACAAGGAGAGGGAAATGCAAGATGGGTGACTTGGACTAAGAGTCAGCTGTGGGTGATTGTTGGTGGGAGGAGCTGGTAATAACAGATTGAGTGGGGTGAGGGGGATGGTTGAATGGGAGAGGAGGGAAGGGGAGCGAGGGGAAATCCATGTGGGAGGATGAGGGGAGGTAAGGGTAGGGTTGGGGTATATGCCACAGATCCGGGGGTGTGGAAAACAGGGTAGGATGACGGGGGAGGATGCCCGGAGTAAACCATGCCATCGACAGAAACGGAGCAACTAAAACCAACTATTATGTCAGAGTTGGTCGAGTCTCTCCCTCTGTTACTAGTGGAGTCATGTCCTGTGTTGAATCTCATGATATTGAATTGGGTACCACAGGTGGTTTTTACTTGGGAGTTGTTGACTTGAGCACTTGTGTTACTCTCACAAGAATTCTAGTTCTCTACTATGTGTGTCCAGAGGAGACATCAGAACTCATCTCCAGACCTGAGGCAATTGAATCCCAGTCTCTGGAAGGCTCACCTTCAGTGGAGGGAGAGTGTGTAGAGAACAGTTCCACTGATGGTGGAGTCAATCCTATTCTCATATGTGGTCCTAGGGGACAGTGGCAGGTGATAAAACCTTGTCTCTGTAATCCTGGATATCAGCTAAACAGTAGTCAGGATAAGTGCTCAGGTACGTCAAGAGGTTACACGAACTGTGTGAATGTATATAATGTTCTTTTACAGAGTGTCCAGAAGGAACCTTCTCATCAGGACTGGGTAATGGACCATGTGAGACATGTCCAGCTAACAGTGAGGGGACTGGAACTGGTCTGAGCCTCTGTCCATGTCTCCAGGACTACTACAGAGCTCCTTATGAGGGGCCGTCCGTCCCCTGTACACGTAAGACATGATGTAGAATTGAAAGTAACAAACATGTTGATTATTTCCTCTTTGTTATGAAAACCATCACGTGTATTCAAAAACCAGACTGATAAAGGCTAGAGTGTTGTTTATTGTCAACAATCACTAGGTAGTGTATATAATCTGTGTACAAATTGTATGCACCTATTGCAGAGTCTCCAGGACGTCCATCTGATGTCAGAGTGTCAAATGTGACCAACACATCAGCCGTCCTCTCCTGGTCTCCTCCTGATAATGGTCTACACCGTCACTGCCAGTGGTGAGAATTCCTTCATTGTTAATTTTGTAGTATGCATTTACAATGGACTTTAAGCAACCAGTCCATCCAACATGTTAAGTATTACTCTGACCAAAATTCAAGAACTATTGCATGCCATATTATTAGCTTGTTCTGAGTTGCGCATCCTACGCCTTGTGCATTTCCTGTTTACTTGCCACAAATTCTGAATATCCTACATGTTTTCCTGAAGTGTTAAAGACAGGTATTATCTGCTCTGTAAAACCCTATGTGACTCCCTTATTATGCACTGTATAGACAGAGGAGGGAGTGGAGGAGAGAGAGTGGTGGTGAGTGAGGTGAATGATACAGAGACCATTGTGACTGGACTGACTCCTGGTGTCCTCTACACATTCTCTGTATCTGCTGAGAATGATGTCTCCTCTCAGGACAACAATATCAATGCCAGAACTGTCAATATCTCTATAGCTACAGGTCAGCTATTAAAATTTTTCATGGTTTCTGATCACCAAAGAAATAATTTTAAGTTCAGTGTTAGAGACATTCAAGAGCACTGTACTGTTGTGGTTTGGAAGGAACCGGCATAAACTAATGGTCCTATTGAAAGCTACCTTTTGACGTTTAGGAGGGAAGATCTGTCCACGTCAGTAGCGTCTAGTCCTACATACCACTATTACGTTATTCAACCACGTGATATCCCACCTGGATCCCCTGTACACGTAAGTCCTTACTGCACTTGTTTCGAAAGGTTTATGTTTAAACCGCATGAATCACACAGAGTCCCCAGGACCTCCGTCTGATCTCAGAGTGTCAAATGTGACTAACACATCGGCTGTCCTCTCCTGGTCTCCTCCTAATGATAATGGAGGGAGACCTCTCTATGAGATTTTGTACACTATTACTGCCATGGGTGAGTAGATGCACTGACGACTAAGCTAATCCCTACTGGGACTTAACGTGATCTTTCTAAAATGCAAACATGCATGTGAATGTCATTCAGATTCCAACAGCAGTGAAGGAGTGACAGTTGTACTATCAGAGGTGAATGATACAGAGACCATTGTGACTGGACTGACCCCTGGTGTCCTCTACACATTCTCTGTATCTGCCGAGAATCATGTCTCCTCTCAGGACAACGATATCAATGCCAGAACTCTGAGTACCACTGCCACTACTGAGGAGGGAGGTTGGTAGAAAACATACTTGTTTTTTTAGAAAACCCACAGGAGAACACACGTCTTTTGGAGAAACGTGTGCTTGTTTTCAGCTGTGTATTAAGGTTCTTATACATAGTCAAACCTGTTTCAGTTTCAATCATGCTAACAAGTTGCCCTGCCTTTTATTAAGTTTTTTTAGAATTCAGTTTTGCTTGGCAACTTTGTTTCGTACGTATTGAGCTAGCAGCCGGTTTTCAAAGTCAAATTAACAAAGAAGGGTACAAGGTATAATGAGTATGCAAATCCTTGAAAATCAGCACATTGTGTAGGAGCTAAAAACCACCACTGCAGTTGGAGGGACAGTGACGGAGTTTGTGGTGGGAGAGGATGGAGTGTTGAGCTGGTCTCCTCCAGTTCCTCCCAATGGACTCATTCTCTACTACAATGTCATCATATCGTCGTCACCCCACTCTGGGGAACTGGTGGCCAGAATATACGATGAGTTGAATGATACTAGTATCGACCTGTATCAATGTTGCGGAGATGTTGGTGGAATCTTTAACATTAAGGTTTGAGAGAAGCACTTCATCACTGTCATACAGATGTAATTAAATTGGTTAAAAAGTTGGAACATTACTTATTACTGCATGTATATAGAGTTGCATGGACATCGATTCAAAACTTGCCTGCAGAATTGTTTCAATATTCTCAAAGCTGCTATTGTTGACACACTCTCTCTCTGTTAATGTACCAGGTGCAGGCTGTGACAAGTGTTGGTGGTGGAATATTCTCACTGCTAGTGACTGTAGCTCTCATTAAACCAAGGCCTCTCTGTCTCTGTCATTCCTCCACATATCCAGCACCTCCTACCACACCCTCTTCTGCACATCCAGTATACTCATCTACTGATGACAGTGGCAACAGTCAGCAGGGAGCCCAGGGGGTTGTGGTTGGATTTGGTATAGCAGTTGCAGTTCTGTTTTTACTTCTGCTGCTTCTTGGAACTTTGTTCATTGCCTTCATTCTGCACACCAAGTGAGACATTTTTAAATGGAGTTCAGTAGCACCTGTACTTTCATTATTCTGACTTGTGTTTTGTCTCCCTCTTGTCTCCATGGGATTAAATTCCAGAGTTATGCAATGAACACAGAATTATGACTTTTCATCTTTTTTCAGGCACAGAAAAGTTGCTGTTACGAAGCCTGCTACATATCAAAACGTGAATCTGAAAGAGAACGAAGCATATGCGAGTGTTTCCTTACAACTGTCTGACAATGCACTTTATTCTGTTGTACAGTGATAAATTTTTATTTTTATGAGTCAAGGGAGGATGACCGCAGATTGTTAGCGCATGCGCAGTAGTACATAACTGGTGTGGGCGTGGCTGATAAGGGAAGTGCATGCATAAAGCTGAAGCACCCAGGAAGACGGGTCAGTCTTGTGAAGAGAGCATGGCAACAGAGGCGGAGAACACGGCGGTGACCCAAGTGGGCGGGACTTCAGAGCACGCGGCAGTGAGCGAGGGGGGCGTCACAGCACCAGAGGCTACAGCAAGGACAGGTAAGTTTCACTCTTCTCAGTTGGCGATTTCATCCGTCTCACCTCGTTCGCTTTTGGCTTAGCCATTTGCCCGAAAATGGTGCTGATTTTTAGTGCGTTTATACGTATACTGAAAGAATTGTGAAGAAGAATATGACCTATTGTCCATCTCTCCCTCTCCCCATCCTCCTATTTCACAGAGGATGGAGGGACACCTAGCGATCTGATTGGTTGGTTCAACTCGGAGATCCAGAAACACCCGGCTACCTTCATCGTGTACTACCGTGGCAACTGGTGACCCTACTGCAAGGTCGGTCTACAGAGTATAGCTGTCTTATTTACTCTGTCAGTGCCTGCAAGGCCAAGATAGGCGACAACTGCTCAGTAGTAGCAGGGAAGACCAGCTTTTGCTCTGGGATAGTGTTCAGAGCAATAATTGTCTTCCTCACATGCTATAATTAGTTTGACACCCCTGAATACTATAAGCTAAGAGATCACTGTTATTGGTGACAAATATTTTGGGACTCAAGCAGTTTTAAACTCTCTGAAGAGCCTAAATTAACAGCATTCTTTTTGGAGAACTTTCTGTAGCTTGCCAAATGTAAGTTATGGTATATACTACTGAGCTATTATCCCTGCAAGGATTTGCTGCATGTAGCAATGTAGTGTATAGAGCTATAGCTGGAATGTCTACTCAGCACAGGATATGCTGACACATATTCAGCCCCTATATGGGTATATATGATTATCTCCTGCAACCTGTATATATACTAAGGGGCAACTCGTGAGTAAAGGGAGAATTTCAATTTCTGTAAGCGTGTCCCTTATTCAGAGGTTCAACAATTTCGTATATAGAACAAAAAATTTTCTCAACTAGTGTTTGTAGAAATGATTCATAGAGCATGCAGCATCCTATATAGTAAACGGAGTATAATTGTTTTCTTTCCCCCCACCGTCAGGGCTACCTCACGGAGTTCAACCAACTCTATGAGGAGCTCCAGGGAAAGGGAGTGGAGGTGTACGCCATCACTGCACAGACACAGGATCTCGTTGACCAGCTGAGGAGAGATCTCAACCTGCAGTTCGAGGTGCTCTTACATTTAGTTGGCAATTATATAGAGTGGTCGTCCTTATCTTGGGTTTGCCTTATTTTAACTCCTTGGGGTGCACGGTTTAGCTACACAACATCCTGACTGCCTTCTACTGTAGCTTCAATCCGTTTCCGGTGCTTGTTTTCCTTTATTCGAAGTTTTCTCTGATATACTGAAAGTGATGACATTTCTCCTTTCACTTCCCTCGTCCCAGTGTTTCTCAGACCCCACCCACATTCTGAGGAACTATCTGGCAGAACAGGATCTCATCGACATACGAATCTCCGGTGTTGAGACCCCTACCGAAGGAAAGTTTTACAAAGTCTACTCAAACTACAGAAACTATTCTCACGGATATGCCCAGCCTGGTGAGAATCATTATGGTTCTAGAATTACATTCTCTACCTTAGAGTATATAGATATTATTCTTTCCTTGCAATAAGTTATTAATCAACCACCCACATCAATAAAACAGCACTACATGTTTGTACAAATAGCCTCAGGCAACGTTAAACATTTTATCGTTAATAGTGAAGCGTTATTACATAAAACCTTTTATACATGTGTATTTCAACTTTCCCGTGAAATTTACTTACTTAGTGTGTAAACAGCAACAACAACAACAACAACAACAGCAAGCATAGTTAATTAAGGCAGTGTTAGGTCAATAAGTGTGATGATTGTGGTGGCATTAATGCCTTCTTTATCGCTGTAATTGCAGGTGTACTTTGTATGTATGTATCGTGATGTCTTACTGCCTCCCTTTACGTTTCTTTCTCTTGTTCATAATTATATGGTGACTGAGGTGGTGGCATTATTAATCCTCTCCTATTAACCTTCTCTGCCACTGTAATTGCAGGCGTGCTGTGTATGACGCCAGATCGAACGGTTCAGTATTCCTGGGCCATCGAGCCAAGCACGGTGAGTTGTCCATAATATTATTTTGATGTGCGTAAAAGCATGCATGGTCTGTAGGTAGTGCTATATAGAGTAAGAGAGATGAAGAAAGAAATGCTCATTCTCTCCTTTTAACTCTTTCCCCCCTAATATTATAGATGAACCTCGGTGGGGCGTCTGATCGCCCTGTACCGGCCGACATCTGGAGCATCGTCCAGCTCAAGATGACCGGCAAAGCCAGCGAACAGGAGATAGAACAAGCTTACAGCCGAGTCCGTCGCCGTGGCAACTGCTCTATCTGCACCATCTTGTAACTATGGCAATGACCTCTAAGGACAATATTTTTACTCTACGTGTGTTTCTTTTTCTGTATGATGATGTCTGTAAATAAATATTGCTGTTTGTGTGTGCATTGCTATATGACGAGGGTGCTTCTAAATCAACAAGTATATAGTTGAAGAACACCCTCTGATGTTTTATAATGCCCACAAACAAAACATTAAAATTTTATATATACGCGCAAAAGTATGCGGAGAGAATACGAGGACCGTATATACAGAGTATTATTATACGGAGAGAGAATCGCACGCGCCCAAAGTAGCCGGAGACGTACGGAGTAAGTAACCGGAGATTTTTACGGAGAAACCGGAGAGTATCCTACAGAATACGGGGTAAAGTCACGTGTATTACAGTAACGAAGTAGCTTTAGCGGATCGAGGGATCCGGGAGAAGGGAGATGAGTTCCGAGCGAGAGCTGGAGATAGTTAGGATAGGGCGGCAGCTGGAAAAGCTGGCCAACAGTGACACGCCTGTAAGAGCTCTCTATCCCGGCGACCGATCCAGCCCAGAAACTAGCGCGCCTTTTGTTCAGTCGAACTCACCGTTTTAGTTGTTTTCTGTGATTGTATGTACGTATGGCAATACATGTGTATCATCAAGTTCTCGAACAAATTACCGCGTCGGTTGTGGGGCTTTTGGCTAGCCGTTACATTCTAATTAGTCCACACTCTCTTCCCTGTCTTTACTCCCTCCCTTTACGTTTCTCTCTCTTGTTGCCCTGGTGCCCAGAATGAAGAGGTGGCCATGGACATGCTGAGGTCCCTGCAGTCGCTGCCGATGACTCTGGATGTCCTTCAGGTGAGTTCCAACATCCCATCTCCAAACTTCTTGAGTGTACCTCTCCTTTTCTCTGGGTTGTCCCTCTTCCCCTTGTTGTATATACGCCCTTTCACTTGGCCTTTGTGTCCTACTACACATCGTCCACTAGCTCCACCCATTCCTTTAGCATCACTTTAGCCTGAATTAAATATCTCCCTCTTCTCCTTTCCCTCACTTCTATATTATAGAAGTGAGGGAAATGTCTATAATTAAAGAGGGAGATGTCTGTTATTATACTTCCTCTTTCCCTCCCTCCCTCCCTCCCTCCCTCCCTCCCTCCCTCCTTTCCTAGAAATCACACATTGGCATATCTGTCAACAAGTGAGGCAGAAATTCCCGGGCAGCGACCTGGCCTCTCTGGCCAAGAAACTCATCAAATCATGGAGAAAACTCCTCCCAGGTATAATATATAACAGGCAGCTCAATATACAGTGGAAGCCCTCTCTAAGGACACCCCTGAAATGAGGAACGCTCTAATAAGGACACTGATAACAGTTCTTGCATACAACTTATAACCCTAGATAGTAAAAAAAACACCTCACTAATATTCCGTTTCATCATGTGTCCAGATTAGCGTTGCTCACTGTATATACCTATGTCGTAATGATGTCATAATGATGGCAGGTAAAGAAGGAAAGAGTGGTTCGCCGTCGCTCGGCAACAAGCAAAATGACCACACACCCTCACCGCAAGCCACACCCACTCCCAGCAAAACGTCCCCTCCCCCCGTCACCTACACTCCGTCCACTAATACAGACAGCCACTCCACTACAAATAGTAACACCAATGCAATTACGTCATCTGCTTCGGCATCAAATGGGGAAACCTCCATGGAAACGATTACATCACCGATCCCCGGACCATCGAGGAGTGATTCCGTCTCGAGCGACTCTGGGGTGGTGTACTTTGACCCCAGTATCCCGGGCGAAGCTCGCGTCCCCCCGACTGGAGACACGGTGCGGGACCGTTGTCGTGAGCTACTGGCAAAGGCCATGCTGAAAGGATTTGAGAATGGTGAGCATTAATTGAAGTAAATTTAGAGAGTTAGTATTGGGGAGAATGGGAGAGAGGGAAGAAAGGAAGAAAGGAGGGAGAAGTAAAGTGATAGATGTTCTGTTTTTCTCATTTCCAGTTACCATTGAAGAGGAGATAAAGTTCCACAACCTCACCGCTGAAATTGAGGACTATATCCTACTCCCAGTAATCTCTAGTAATCCCCAGTAATCTCCAGTAATCTATCGACATAGAATTTGACTGTCATCGGTTATACTGTCAGTAATCTCTAGTATACTCCAGTATATCATAGTAATCTACTCCCGTGTTTAGTATACTGTCAGTAATCTCTAGTAATCTATCCTTGACTGTGGTGTCCACGTGTGTTCAAGGAGTTCAGGGACACGGGGAACAAGTACAAGCAGAGGATTCGGAGCCGGGTGTCTAATCTCGGAGATCTCAAGAATCCCAGTCTCAGACACAACGTCATGTCTGGCACCATCTCCACCTCCAAGATTGCCACCATGACAACCGAGGTGAACGGGAGAATATATAGGGGTTTCCCCTCATATTCATAATAATAATACCTCCTGTGTATTTTTATCCTTCCCTGTGTGCATTCAACGACCGAATATTTCTTGGTCTGAGGGTTAGGCATTGCTGCACTTCACTCCACGCCTGCATCGGGCACTTTCATGCACATATATACCCCAAAAAGGCGACTTTGGTGAGATTGCAGATCGACCGTTGCTAGAAACAATCACCCGTGCGAAAAAGAAACGGAGACCGGAAAAGCAAGTGGTTGATATTTTCCGTCCCTTATCTTCCAGGAGATGGCCAGCGATGCGATGAAGAAGCTACGAAAGAAGCTGACAAAGGAGGCCATTAGGGACTCCCAGATTGCCATGCAGGGAGGAACGGAAACGGACCTGCTCAAATGCTCAAAATGCGGCAGCCGAAAGTGCACCTATACTCAGGTATATACAGTGGGAAACCTCCGATAAAGAAAACCTCTCTCAATAAAGAACAACTTTAAAACCCTTTGGGCGCATTTTACATATTATATATGCACAGAGCCTCCATAAGTGCATACGAATTTATATATGGCTATAATACTAGGCGCTAATATGCTAGACATCAATTTCTGCTTATTTAAGGAGACACCTATGCGCGCCCAAAGGGTTAACTGTCCAGTAATACGGTTGAACAACTCTGAATTTTTTACTGTATTCCTCCATTATTGCAGGCGCAGACAAGGAGTGCAGATGAGCCGATGACTACGTTTGCCTACTGTCTCACTTGTGGGCATAGATGGAAGGTACGGTGGTAGTATAAGTGGTATATATCATATACCTTACACCAATACTGCCTCACTTGTGGGCATAGATGGAAGGTGCGGTGGTAGTATAAGTGGTATATATCATATACCTTACACCAATAGGACTTAGATTTATACACTTGTGGGCATAGATGGAAGGTACGGTGGTAGTATAAGTGGTATATATATACCTTACACCAGTAGGACTTAGATTTATACACTTGTGGGCATAGATGGAAGGTACGGTGGTAGTATAAGTTGTGTATATGACCTTAGGACTTAGATTTATGATATGTGAGGTGTCCTTATTTCAGTGGAGATGGAATATATAGTGTATACTGCGTCTGAGTGCTTTTTGTACGTTTCTCTATCTTTCCTACATCCTCTTCCTTCTTTCCCTCGTTGCTGGTTTCGCTCCTCCTTCCTTCTCCCCTCTCTCTCTCCTCTTTCGTCCACCATCTTTATTCTCTCCCTCCCCACACTATATACCTCTTTTCTTACAGTTTTGCTGAGGATCAGTCATTGACCCAGAGAGGCACACACACACACACACACACCCAGTTCCCAATCACCTACTGTTTCACTGGCACAGACAGTCCATTACTATTGCGTTGTTTGTTGTTCACACATTGTGCCATGATCATTCATTTCCAGTTGCTGCAATGCATGTTTTTGACTGTGTATCTTGATGTAATGAGTCTCACAGTTTATTAGAAGTACAATGGCTATCTTAGATCTTGGCGAGTCCAGGTACCACGTTTTCCCTAGGAAGATGATATGCCAACAAGATTGTGTGCGTGCGCTCCGAAGAGTTAATTACGCGTGCGCGTGCGTGCGTGTGGGGGCCACCGCGGGGGACCGTGCGCGCGCGGGAGGGCGTAACTTTCGGAGCATGCGCACGCGGAGGGGGCGCGGTGGAGAAGCGTTCTTCTAGCTAGAGCTAGCTGTGTGTGTGTGGGGGGGCTGTGTATGATCTTCGTGTCGAGCGTCGCTTAGTGAGTTACACTAGCTGTATATACACACTACACGTAAACAACAGTCTAACGCGCACGTGACCTACCGTATTATGTGCGTCGATAATCATCAGTTGCCGTACACATTATGTGCAGAGGTAGCACGGGGTTGAGTCATCCAATGCGAGGCACATATGGAGATCTCGGTACTGAGTGTGGTGGACACTCTGAGGAGTGTGGGGTTCTCGGCAGCCAACTGGAGAGAGCTGGCACAGAGACTCAAACCAGACGTCGACCTCGGCGCCGTCTCTGCCGACAACCACTGCTCCCAGGACCGTCTGGAGGCCGTCGTGTCGTCGTGGTTACGAGACGGAGATCTCCCAGGGGGCGGGGTCTGGGAGGTGCTGGCGACGGCAGTCGAGAGGTGTAGGGGAGGAGGGAGGAACGTAGCCACAAAGATTCGACAGAAAGTGGAATCATTAGGTAAAGGATAAGAGAAACAGGTTTTGGTATAGACCACCAAAATTTTTAGTTCGTCACACAATAAAGTTTTTTTTAAATGCAGAATAATCTGTGAGTGTGTTTATTTCTCTGCAGGTAGTAGTGCTGATGACGTAGGTACTGGAATGAGGACAGAAGTTACCATACCCTCCCTTAGTAAGTGGACAGTTTAATTTCATTTGGGTTGTAGGACATATTTTCCCTTACTCTACCCTCCCTTAGTAAGTGGACGTTTGGGTTGTATATAGGACATATTTTCCCTTACTCTACCCTCCCTTAGTAAGTGGACGTTTAATTTCATTTGGGTTGTATATAGGACATATTTTCCCTTACTCTACCCTCCCTTAGTAAGTGGACAGTTTAATTTCATTTGGGTTGTAGGACATCTTTTCCTTACTCTACCCTCCCTTAGTAAGTGGACGTTTAATTTCATTTGGGTTGTATATAGGACATATTTTCCCTTACTCTACCCTCCCTTAGTAAGTGGACAGTTTAATTTCATTTGGGTTGTAGGACATCTTTTCCTTACTCTACCCTCCCTTAGTAAGTGGACGTTTAATTTTATTTGGGTTGTAGAACATATTTTCCCTTACTCTACCCTTGGATGTATATATAAGTGGGCGTTTTATTAGGTTAGAGGACGGGTCTGGGGGTGCGTACGTGTCCCTTAGCGTTGAGACGGGGGAGACCGACTCTTTGTCACAGAATTCTTAGTTACCCACACACACTGCGGTCTAAACGTTCCGCGTGCTCTCGCGCGGGCCAAACCGTCCGCACTGTGCCCGCCCCCCAGGTGACACCCCGCCTTGTAGTAACAACGGCCTAACTCCTCTCTCTCTGCGTCCTCTCCGTTCCGTCTCTCCTCTCCTCTCCTCTCTCTCTCTCTCCATCTCCCCGCTCCCGGTCCCTCGCCAGCTGCGAAACCCGACACGCAACCAGGTACGCCGTCTCGAAGCAATGATGTCAACTCAGGAGAGTGTGTCGAGTGCCAACTCTGTGTGGGCAATCCGGCCTCGGTGGGAGGAGTGCCGTGTCGCCCTGCTGTCTCGGACGCTCCCACTCAGCGCTGTACTATATACACTTTCACGATAAATGGTGTAGGTGTTCTGAGGACATTCTAGGATCCTCTTTTCCTTCGCAAAGCGATACTCAGAAATCATAACTCGCTCTTCCGCTCTTGGGTGGAATAGTAAAATTCGTGCCCTTCAATACCCAGATATGCTCCTCCATTTCAGGCGACATTCAGGGTACATCCTTAACAGAGGTGTACCAGCTTTCAGGGAATGGCCTTAAGGAGGGGTGTCCTTAAGAGAGACCGGTTGTCCTTAATTTCAGGGTGTGGTCCTTATGCGTAAGGGGACGTTTCTCACAAGCCCCTCCTTAATATTGCGTATGCCATTCTCTACAGCGTTTATGCTTTATTTTTCGGATTCCCAATTCTAACGTTTCTTCCGGTTCGGGGGGTTTTCCCAAATCGCTGTTTCAACCATGCTTAATCGTTTCGTGCAGGTATAACTTTTGGCACTCCCTGCCTTACGCAGCGCCTTCTCGTTCACTCTTTTTGTTTCACCCTCCTTCATAGTTCAATTCCAAAGTTCGACTGCTTTCTCGACATTATACCTCTGAGATTGTCCGTAGGTTTGTGGGCTGCGCTCTTCGTAATTAGGGCTCTTCCATACTAATTTGACAGGCCGTCTGACCAAAATCTCTAGAGCACGTTGAGTTTAACGCTTATTCAACTCCTCTATCTTGCTGCTTGTTGCCTTATATTGGGTGGGGGGGGGGGGGGGGGGTGCCTCGGGGTGCTGTCTCATTTCTTCATAAGAATGTCTCCCTGGTGCACAGGGATGCAGGTCTGACAGGTGGTGATAGTGAGAAGACATGTGTGAGGGAATGTGCTGAAACTGGGGGATGAGTGGTGAGCTGAGATCGAACCCATTGACCTGGGCAAGACTCTGCCGATAGCCCAGAGGAAACGGTACGACTCCAAGCCCTCCCGTCCAAACACCATTCTCACCCCACATACACATTTCTTGGCGAACTGTGGAAAATGAGTAATTTATAATTTCATTGTGTTTCTGTGCCTACTTCGGCCAACCTAATCACTGGTGTCTGTTGCACACTCAGTACTTGTCTATACTATACCTGCCCTTCTTTCACAGTCATTCACCAACGAATTTCGTTGATTCTTAGAATTAGTATCCACATTTATGGCTTAAGAACCAAGACGAGTAGCTATCCAATTAACCAACAGTGCGAAAGGGTAGTTTATGGCTCGAATATGATAGGCTTTCTTTCTAGTCATGTTTTTAATCTTTTTTTGCGCACTGAAACCTGCAGTCCGCGACGAGAGGATCTTTTGAACGGCTACATCGCTCGCTAACTGTTCCGTTGCGTTAATCATAGCACGCAGGGATAAACTTGAGGTACTGTGGCGTTAGGGGAAACTTACACAGGATACACAGTAACATATATTATTATAATTTGAGAAACTAATAACTACAAAAAAAGTGTTTTCAAGTAGCTAACAAAGTCTCGTTCCATTCACTGTAGGTATTTTGATTCTTTTTTTTGGTCCGGTAAAGCGCTGTCCAGAATAGCTCCTAACACTTACGCAGCCAACAAAAGAGACCACGTGAGTAAATAATAATCGGTAACTTGATAAAACCACTTAACCAAAGTGCTAGCAGTATGGACGCGAGTTGGGGGCCGCAGTACGAATTGTGGGTTCCGGTTGTTATGCCATGCAGCGCCGACCGGCAACGTGTTACCTGGTATACGTGGAACAACGTGTCGAGGGGGCATAAGTAAGTGAGACGAGACATGATGCTGTGGGTGTTGCACTTTTTTAAATCTCCGACACACTTCTTTGCATCAAGTGCCTGTGACGAAAAACAGATGTAACCTAGATCGTTGGGCGACCAGTATCCACGCACAAAGGGCTCGGGGTAAACAACTATAGACCCATCCATTGATGTATGTGAAACTGTCAGTGTGGGTGCACCATACCCCCCCAACAGGGTAACCAACACACAGTGGTTACCGGCGTGGGCGATGCAGGCGGGCCAGCACATCACTACCTCTCGGGTCCCGCTTTCACCTGACGGTTAAGGCTCCATCACACACATAATTCTGGGGTTGTAGTATACCTAGCCACCCAAGAGACGATAAGAAACACCTGTTGAAGCACTCGTGTGATTCTTGACTGTGGTCATGTGTTGTCCCGCCGCCATTGCGGGTCTTGTTTAGTTCGTCACTAGTACACCTGATTGCTGGCACAGCTAACCCTGGATTTTTGTTTACACGAGCTTGGAAGATCAAAATTTCAACCTGTATAACCTGGGACCGTCACGGCGCAGTTCCATTTGCGGCGTTTACCAACGATTGTATTTACCCTGTAACCTAAAACATACACCAAAAATTAATTACTTACCCTTTTATTCGTTTACGGTAGAACCGACCTCCCTGTCCTCCCCCCACGCCTCTCCACTTTTGCTCTGCCTTCCCCCCTCCCCCCCTCGCCTTTCTCCCTCCCCCGCCGTCCCCCCCCTTTCCCCTTTACTCCCTTTTCTTCTCCCCCCCATTTTCCCCTTCGCCGGCCTCCCTTTCCTCCCGCATCCCCCTCCTTCGCATCTTTTCCTGCACTACGTGCCGCCGCTTTTTGTTGTCACCGACCCCACCCCCATCTACCCTTCCCGCTTTCCCCTTTCTTTCCCACCCATTCACTTTTACCTCGTACCACCCTTCTTCGACAGAACGCTCTACCGGGCACCAGCCAACCACTTTCCGCCCCGCAGCGCCTTCCCCCTGATTTTGTCGAACTACCCCGTCGTATTGTATTTCCATCCCCGCGCCCTCTGCCTTTGTCTTTACCCTCGCCGAACCCCCCCGTTTGTTTTCTTCTCCCCAGCCCTGGAGCCTACTTTAGTTTTTTTTTTTATTTTGTTTTCCTCTTCCTTACATTCCCCTTCTTTCGGCTCCAACCCCCTTTTCCAAAACTTCTGTTTTGCTCGTGCATATCCAATACTTTGCCCTTTATTTTTTTTTTCCGGTGGCGGCCTCCCCGCCGCACCCACAGCTCGAACCGCCTTCTTTTCCGGGCTTTCGTCCCAACCCTATCCTCTCCATGATACCTCGCACTTTCTTCCACCTTGTCATCACCTCATTCCGACACGACTTTTTTGTCCCATCCTCACAGCCCACCCCTTTTTACTCACGTATCCCAACCAACGGTGTCACTTATTTTCAAAGGAGGACCAGCGACTTTCTGGTGCCCACCCCCACCGGTTACTCCCCCCTTTTTTTACTTACTTACCTCCTAACCCCTTCCCCCCCAACACCTTTTTACCCCTTTTAAAAAAACCTTCACCTTTTACTTACCCGCCTTTAACTTTACTTTTTTACGCTCCTTTTACTCTTTTTGTTACCACCTTACCTCTTAACTTTTACCCCACGATACTTTATTAACTTTTAACCCTTTAACCCACACCACCCTACTTTTTTTAAATTACCAACCCCAACCTTTACCCTAACCTAGACTTTGTTCCCCAGCCCACGCCGTTTTGGTTTTTTCACCTTTTACCGTTTTCCTTTAAACCCCCCGCACTTTTTCATCCAAACCCCCGGATGCTTTGTGATTCGCTTTCCTTTTCGCGCCGCTTTTCCCTGTTCCATTTTTGTTTTCCGCTGTTTCCATTTACTTTTGTCCCTTTTTCGCTTACCGTAGCCGATTTTTTTTTTTTTGGATATTCCTCCGCTGTTTTTCGCCCCCGATTCCACCTACCGCCCCCCCCTCGCCAGATGTTTACTTCCCCCTATCGTTTCCGCCCTCACGGCCACACGTATATTTTCTTTAATGTGCTATGTTCCAATTACCCCCTGACCCTTCACCCTTTAACCGCCCTACCCTACTTTACACGCTCACTCTCTCAACACTAGCACTATAATACATGAAGCACACTTTCTTACAACTGATTCTAGAATCCTACCTTCAACATCCATCATATAAGGCTGTGCTCCATTCATGAAGACAGCATAAGGTGCTGCGTCCACTAAGACAGCAAGTTCCATAATCGCAGCCAGAATAACCAGCAAAGAGATGGCGATTGCTTTGCCTGACATCTTCTAGAGTACAGCTTTCTTTGACACAGTATCT